GGATGAGTCCATTATGGTCTACAGTGGTGAAAGGGTTAAAAACAATATTGTGCTTGTATTCAGAAAGCAGGTCTAAACGTTTTTACATTTTCTTCCTTGTAACTACTGAAACTAACTTCAATTTGTGTAGATCAGGGGCCATGTCTTCCACTTAGTCATCTTTACTATAATAACATGACATCACTAGAAATGTGTTTAATCAAGTCTTGAATGATGTTGTATATCCTATCATGAAAGTCTCACTTAGTATACAGATAAAATAGCACAACCAACTTAAAATAAATCATGTGATGTATTCTTCTTATTTAACTTGTAGTTAATTTCCATTATAGCTCAGCGACATGATCTTCAGAAGAAGCACAAGGAGATGCTGCAGTCATGTCAGACTAAACCACACAACCTCCCTATAGTGGAGACTACCATTGAACGAGAGAAAATTGTGAGTTTACACATACATGTTACTGAAGCTTAGGCATGCCTCTCGTTTTTTGAAGTATGTTTTTCTCTGTAGAGCACATACATTTTATATACAGAACGTTTAGTCAATCAGGAAACTTGACAGCAACATACCGTAGTACATATCTTTGTCTTTATGTATTAGCAATTTTTTGGTAAAAAAAGGAATAAAGAGATCCCAAAAGGATTTTAGGGCCCATTATCATAAGATCTTCATTGATTATATGCAGGATGGGTCTCTTCTTTTCATTTCTCTAATTATATAATTATCTGTTGGATTAAGTAGTGTAAACAGTAAATGCACCTTATACAATGTATTAACTTTTGATTGAATCTGCGGTGTAAACATCGTTCTTTCAAAGTGTGGTTGTGGTTTGACCATTTTACTATCCTAGTACTAACCTGTAACAAGGGGAACCCACATTTAAAATTTGAGAAAGACCTGTCAAGTGCCTCTTCTGAACTTATAAGTGATAACAATCTGGAACTGTTTAAATCCAAGATGACTGCCTGGCATCCATCTTGTTGTTCTGATAAGTCTCAAAATGAAAGATGCACAACTTGAGACCAAAGAAAATCAATCTGTGAAATGTGTGAACGATCTGTTGAATACTTCTTGAGAAATAGTGATAGGAATCGGGGAACTGTTAAAATTTAAGATGGCTGCCAGCTGGTGGCCACCTTGTTTTTGCAATCAGTTTCAAAATGAAACCTGCACAACTACAGGCTATTAAAAATTTGAGAAACATTTGTCAGGTACTTCTTAAATCTTATCTTTCTGAATTTTAAGATGGTTGCCTGTCGACCATCTTGGCATTCTAATCAGTCCTAAGATTCAATATGCCCAAGCAGGGACCCTGGGGAACATACAAGTGAAGTGATGTAAAAAAGAAAGCATAGTTATACCAGTATTACCTTCAGTAATATGTTTCTCTGAGTCTCCGTCCAGTCTGATATTAACATGTCTACACCTATATAGGTTAGGTACATAATTGTATATATGATTAATTCACATTGTCGTACTCCAAAAATAAGCTTATGAATTTGCCCCGTTTGGCATATCTTACAGACACTAGAGCGGCGCTGTGAAGAAGAGGTGAAAAAGCGGGATATGAAGATTATCCTGGATCTGGACCAGAAGGTGATGGATCAGCAAGTGATGCTGGAGCGTGCTGGAGTTCCTGGATTCTTCGTCACCAATAAAAGACAAGACATTCAGCTACAGATGTATCTTCTGGAGTTTATACAGAGACTCAGTCATATGGATATTCCCTCCTGACCTTTGTTATAGAGACCAGTCACAAAGAGCTCACCTTAAACTTGATGATACAGAGACTCAGCCACAGAGATCACACTGGCCCCTGTTATAGATACGTGGGTCATATAGAGGTGATTCTTGCCTCTGCTTTTAGAGACCAGTCACAAAGGGATAACCTTGAACTTTATTCCACTCAGTTTCAGCGAGATCACCATGAAGATCATCATGAAGACTCAGTCACATAGACAATACTCTGACAAGTGTTATAGAGACTCAGTCATGTAGACATTACTCTGACATGTGTT